AAAATTCTTGTCGCTTTCTACTATAAAACTATTCTATAAAACTATAGTCTGCCTAAGATTTTTATTTGAGTTATGCTATTGCATATTTTTCTGTATACTGGAATTTTGAAAATTTTAAAATATTTATTCATCAAATCGTCTAAAAATATTGTGCTAACTAATTGTTATAGAATGTAATAGCATGTAAAAGTAGTAAAATTTTTTACTATTTTTTTCTACTTTTTTTCACGAAATCACGAAAAGAAATCATGAAAGGAGATTATTTTCCTTTATATCAAGAACAATCAAAAACAAAAACAACCAAATTCTCCTTAATTAGTTCAATGAATATGCTGGGCATATCTTGCTTAGGAACCGCATTGTATTAGATAAAAATCTTACCAAAAGGAAACAAAAATTCGTTCTGAAATTTCGAAAACGCATCATATTTCCAAACTATCTCTAAATAAGCAATAAATTATGCCAGCGATTACTCCTATTTTTTTAAAAAATAGAATGAAGGAAATGAAAAAAGATTGGAATGATTCATTAAAATTTCATAAAAATTCACTTTATCAAAAACGATCATTTTCATTTCTAAATAATGTTGACTAGCGACGAACAGTTTAAATTGGCAATCATTAATCATCTCAGACAATAAGAAGTCAGTAAGGCAGATCGAATTCATAACGAAATGCAAAAGAAGAATTAAAAGCAAAAATGTAAAGAAGGATCGAGGAATCAATTTCGATATAGTTTTGCGGAAAGTTTTACAATACGTTTTCATGGTGTTAAAAAAATCGAAAGCATTTTGGATGCATGAAAGGATCGGTTTGTTATGAAATAAATATAAAGGATTTGTGAAGCTTAGTGAGATTTGAGAATCTTGCTGGGATTGTAAGATAGGATTCTAGATAAGATGAAATTAAATACAATACGACATGATTGTAGATGATATTGTAGATGATAAAAAGGAAAGAAATTTAGAGTGGGGTTGAGTATTACAACTGCAAATGAAGGGAAAACTGCAAAAAGTTGTTTCAGTTTCGTTTTCAGTAGTTGCATAGAATTTTGGAAGATGATCAGAAATAGGTTATGGAATTAAATCCAAATGCGAATATCCAGCTGATTCGATGAAATATTCAGTGTGGATTTTCCGAAGACGCTTCAGTTACCACTCATCTTAATTCACTTTTCACCAATTTCAATTCTGCAAGTGTATATTAAACAAAATTCTGCTCAAATAATTTTGCTCAAATAATAAAGTTTGACGAATTAATTTTTTTTTTTCTTCGAAATAACATGGGGCTTAAGGAATGGAAATTAGTTTTAAATAGTTACAAATAAATGATTTTAAAAAATGATAAGTGAAAAGATTGAAGAGATGATAAGAATTTAGAAGACAATGACGAAACGATAATTTATATTTTTCATGATAATTACTAAATAATGTGGCGCTATACCAAACCAAACGATATATAAATGCCGATAAAATTAATTTTAAGAATATTTTAAGAATATTTTAAAAAATATGATAAGGAGAATAATGTGAAATATTATCAGCTTATTTGATTTATTCATATCTTCTAAATTTGATGCAATTTGGAACAAATAGAATCGGTGATTTGTTCCAAATAATTTAAAATAAATAATAATTTAAAATAAAAATTTTGTGAATGCTTTAGTGCTTGCTGAATGCTTTAGTTTTAGAAATAGGTTTAAATAAATTTAACTGATTTCTTCGGTCGCATAGAAATTTGAAAAATTTGCACTTGATTCTTATTTGTGCAGCTAATCAAAATTTGCATATTATTTTTAAGTATAAATCGAAACTTCACTCCGTATTTCACAGAGAATCTAATTTTTAACAATATAGATTGAATTTATCACTAAAATATCAGTTGCGAAAGAGGGAATTTAAATGAGAGATGAAGCATTTCTGAACATTTGCGATTAGTTCACTCGATTCACCGATTGGTGCAGGCAATTATATACAATCAGATGATTTGAATTGAAAAAACCATAGATTTCACTTATTATGCATATCATATTTATAATATATCATATAATATACATATCATACTTCAAATTTGATATATTTAAAATATTTACATTTTACATCCTAGAAGGTCATTTAAGAAATGCCGGTGAATAACCATTCGCACCGCTTTGATTTTATGCAATTTTTTCAGCGTGATAAATTTCTTAATGATATTATTTGTTTAATAACAGTAATCCAGAACTGGAATTTCATCTATAATGACCACTCCTGTCAAGAAGCGAGGGACACGACGCTTAATTTCACGAAGACGCTTAACTTCAGTCTTGGTAACATAGCGCTTAACCATTTATCGTCCAGCAATTAATTTAGGTTAAATTAGAAGCGATGAATAGTGAACACCTCAACGATAACTACTATTTGATACAAATAGTTCAAGTCGAGTCGAATGAAAATTGTTTGAACCAAACAAAAGGAAATTATCATAGACAAATTTAAAATAAATAAATGTTTTAAGGCATTTAAAATTAAAGCTGATTAATTATGCAATTAATTAATTAAATTAATTAAATTCACATTATGATATCAATTAAAATAAATTACCGAACGATATAGCTCTTAAAAAAAGATCAGATAATATCGTTTACAATATTATTTAAAAAGTTCACATTATGCAGGAAGTGTGAAATCTCGATTTTTGCCATCCGATTATACATGATGTAGTTACTTCGAACTGTACTATACTATATTATTTTGTAATTTCCTCATTAAATTGTTAATTTTTGTCATATTTTCTTTTTTTTATCATTAATTTTTATTTTGCCTGTTGTTATTAATGCAAGCACATGGCGTTTGTCGCATGCTTGGCTGGTTTTCGATAAATAAGTAAATAAATATATTTTATATTTTATCTATAACCCATGATAGTCGTTAATAATGATATTTAATAATGATATAATGATATAATGATATTTTGTTTTATTAAAAATTCAGTATATTTAGTTCTAATAAAAATTTATACCAAGATCTAATATGCGAACCGTATATACCAAATTCATCATTATCAAAAATTGGAGAATTAAAGTGTTCAAAACTAGCGTGCAGAATTTTACATTTTTCTTAAATACAAAAGGAAATTCGATTTGCTTATTATAAAGCCATCATTTTATTTATCATTCTTGTAATATTCCCGAGGCTATCAGATCATCAGCTCGTAAATAAATAGTAAAATCCGGCAGAACATCGATAATATCTGCATAATATAGATATAGAAATGGTTTAAGGAAACATAAAGGTGACTCGAAGAAAATGAACTCGATAAGTTTAAAGAGTTTAAGAGTGATTACAGTGAATATCCGTAAGAAATTTAAGGATATAAGGATAAGCGAGCGAGATTTGGACTTATAAACATGTCGAACGTTTGGTGCATTCCATGCGAATCCTTCAAATATCGGTAATTTTTCGTCACAGTTTTTTCAACCTTATAGTTTTTTAATACCTTCTCTCGAAAAACAAAAAATATACATAGAATTGCAGGAATCTGTATAGATTTCTAGATACGGAAATTATTAGTAAAATTAGGAATGACGATGGTTTGATTTCTAAAATCTGTTTGGTCAAAAAGTTTTTTGTATTGGTGATTGTACTTTTAAAAAAATTACATTCAAGCGTAGTTAGCATTATTCATAAAGTAAATAAAATAAAATAAGTTCAAATATCGTTTTCCTCACTAGTGATATCTATCCGTATAAAACCTTTAGTACTGGTTCCTCATCATTAATGGTTAAACTCGCACCACTGGCTTGTCGCAATTGGGCAATATGCCAGAGAATCCTTCGGCCATAGAGATATAGGTGGGTCGCCAGCATCACGCGGATTTTTATACAGGTTTACTCCTGCAGGGAATCGAACCTTAGCATCGGCGCTCCCAAATGAGCAACAACTCACTGAGCCATTCTATCCCCTAAAAACCTTTAGTACAATAAATATTGGCTTGTGGCCAATAGGAAAGAAATCACTATAAGTTGATGTTTCATAGTAATTCAATAATTTAATAATTGAATAAAAGGTTTTACTCAATAAAAATTAAAAATTACATCATTTTTACATTTCTAAGAAAAATTTAACCCTTAATTTCCTAAATTCATTTATCGGTTCATTTGTATTTGATGAGAAGTTTAGCGATTTATGTGATTTTTGAGGTATAAATTTTAAATTTTTAAGCATTTTCATAAACGATTTGGCATTAATTTGGCGTTTTAGCTAAATAATTAAGGAACTTCGACCATTTGAATTTTTTTTTGATTTGTAATCGCTAAAAAAGTTGGTCTTCAAAGCATTTACAGAACTAATGGTGAATTTTAAATTTTTGGTTTAGATTTGTATTTTTCGCCCAAATTTCCGTTTTGAAATAAATATTGACAGTTAAAATGGAAAAAAGAAAATTCTGCAATGGTTTTCTATGAGTTGATATAAAATAATAACAAGGAAGATAATAATTTTTTTTTGCTTATTGCAATTTTTTAAAATATTTTCTTTTTTTTGCACTGAAAAGCTCGTTTTAAGTAGCAAAAAAACTTCCATCCATTTTTCAACCATCCGATTTCCTTGCAATAAATGAAATATATTAAATATAATGAATTGGATGCTGGCACTCATTTGAATTTCGATAACGATGGTGCTCCCTCGTATATACACTTGTATAGTCGGTAAGCCAGAGGAGCAAATCCAACCAGTAATGATTAAAAAAACTTCTACTGAAAACACAGTTTTATAATATTTCTCATATATTTTTCACGTGTTGCTAATAGCTTTTCCAGAAAGCTTCATCTCGAATTGTGCACGAAAACTTTACTTTAGAATAGAAACTTTAAAGAATGATTTTTAAATAAATATTGCCGCCTTCTTACAACAAGGTTGACTTATAATATCTTATTCAGTGATATGATCAATGATAATCAATGATCATATCATATTGCGCAATTCTTTAAAAATTCTTATGATATAATGATATAAGAGCAAATTATGATATGATATAAGAGCAATTCTTATGATATGATTGATATATGAGCAAATTAAGAACAAAAAATGATTTTTTCAAATGTGCAAGTTCATTTTCCATTTTAGCAGCTTTTACTGAGCAAATATTCGTTAAAAATGAATACGTTTCACAAATACCTAAAAATATGGTTTTTTAAAGAATACTTAAAATTGCATCGCATAAAAATTCATTCAGATAAAAGCTTATTGCCTTTTTCTATCATTAATTTGTTGGAAATTAGCTGAAATTTCCAGTCAATAATTCCATCTTCTTCATCTTTACTATGCACCACAGTGTAAGAAAATTTTAAAAAACAGAATTTTTCAACAGAATTTTTCAATTTCAAAATTTTTCAACTGTCATTTTCAAGAAACTATCATCGCAAAAGTGAAGATGGTGAAAAAAATAATTTTAAGGTAAACGATTAAATGAATAAAAGATGTGAAAGCCGATGAAGGAACATCAATTCCTTCAATATATAGCATTTTTAATATATAGCATTAATTCGTTAATTATGATATTAAAAAAAGCTTCAAGCAATAGAAATGGTGGCAGTGGTAATAAAAATGGAGAGCAAATAATAATTCCTTCTTTTGTTATCGTTGCTACTATCTGCTTTGATGAAAGTTATCATTCTTTCTTGAGTTATCATTCTTGAATTACCTATTATCATTCTTGAAAATTGGCGAGGTTTTTTCGCTTCATTTATGTTAACTCTCTTCTATCTGGAATTCATTTTCAGCATATGGAACTTCTAAATATTTTTATTCAGAATTTATATATTTTTATTATAAAATATTAAAAAAATATTCGCATTTGAGTGAATTTTTTATCGTCTCATTTATACCTCCACTTAAAAATTTTAAATTTTATTATTCTTTCTAATTTAAATATAATTTCCTATCATCGATTTAATTTCCTTTCTAAATTCTATAAATATTTAAAAAATTTTTATAATCATATCAATAAGATTCTTAATAATTCTTTATAAAGATCCTTAAAAAAAGTAAAGTAATTACCTTCTGAATTCTTTTCTGTAGCTAAATGGGATTCAATTTCATCATATGAAGCTTCTAAATATTTTTATTAAGCATTTATATATTTTTATTATATTTATTATTATAAAATATTATAAAAATAATATTATATTATAAATATAATATTATAAAAATATTCGCATTAGAGTGAATTCTTCATCGTCTCATTTATGTCTTCACTGAATTAAAAACTTTATTATTTCTTTCTAATTTAAATATAATAATTTCCTATCACCGATTTAATTTCCTTTCTAAATTCTATAAATATTTAAAAAATTTTTATAATCATATCAATAAGATTCTTAATAATTCTTTATAAAGATCCTTAATAAAAATTTGACATACTGAAAAAAGTAACCTTCTGAATTCTTTTTTGCAACTGACTGCGATTCACTTTCATCATATGAAGCTTCTAAATATTTTTATTAAAATGCATTATAAAATAAAAAGATTCGCATTTAAGTGAATTCTCTATCGCAATTTCTTATCGCCCTCTCCTCACATATTATTATTATTATCATTACAGTTGCTACTGTAAATTTTTCCGAAAATTCCTCATTAAAATTGAGGTCAACACCTTTCAATTTTTCTTTTAACTCTGATTGAACTTTGATTTGTTTTATTTCATTTGAATTTGTATATAAGTACTTTTATAAATTTTTATCAATTTTTAATTAAAATATTTATAATAATATTGATACAGTACTACGGTAAATTCCATTTAGGTCCTAAGGCCTAAAATATTTTTTTTCTGCTTTGAACAGAATTTTAGTATTAACAAAAATTGAATACCGTTTTTTATATAGTTCCTTCTAACTACTTCAAGTTCAGGTGAACAACCGAATTTTTGTTCATCATCAATAAGAAAAGTATTCACGGCTTTCAATTTTGTAAAATTGTATATAATCATATAACAAAAACAGTAATCGTCGTCTGCCCAATATGTTATTCCAATACATTCGTGAAATTGTAAAACACAGTGTTGCCATTTAGATACTTCTTCCATTTTTTGTGGGCTTCCAATAATTCCTATATCCTCAAGAATCAAACGATGGTGAACGTTCGAAACAGACATGAAGAAGCACGACAACTAAATCTATGATCAAGTAAATTTACCAAGAATAGATATATCAATTACTAAATTGAACTAAATTTGGTTATCACTTCAACACTTCACCTAATCAGACTTTTGATTGGAATTTCCAACTCGCAATTTAAATTATATAAATTATGCATGAAAAATATAAGAAAAAGGCTTTTTTTATAAATTTGGCTAAATTTTTGTGGGAATTACTTTACTAAACGATTATCATGATGGAATAAGTTACAACAAATCAAACATATTACTTATTCATAGTTAATTTACTCCAAAATTTTGCATGCAATACTCCTTTAATTCTAAAAAATTTTAAAGGTAATTTTTTTTTATATAAATAATATATATATATAGTGCTATATACTTATATTTAATGTCTTAATATTTGAAATTTTAAAAAGATTTTTTTTAATCATCTTAAAATTTGGGCTGATAATTTGGTATTGCATATGGCCTAAAGATGGGAAGTTTTCAAGGAATGAAAAAAATTTATGTGAAGAGTGAAATTTATGCGGTATTACAAATTTCTTATCAGAAATCTGGCTTAATAGAAGGAAAAAGAAATAAAAATGCCTCATTAGAAAATTGTATAAGTTTTAATCCTACGATTATTCCACATATGCCTTAGGGATTTCCCGACAATCTGCGGAGCACGCTTTAAAGAATTGCTAATGTTTCGGATAAAAAATTCTCACCAAAGTGAACCGAAAATTCATTATCAAATCGAAATACGCGATAATAATAGAATATACCACCAATCACTTTCTTTTGAAAAATATGCAATAAAACAAACGACGAAAAAAAATTGCAATGATTTATTAGCATTAGATTTATTTATTTATGATTTTATAAATTGTTCATTTTATTCAAATCGTCCATATAATGTTGTCTAGCGACCAACATTGCAAATTGGTTTTCATCGTCAAATAATGAAAAATTCTATAGTAACGAAAAACGAAAGAATATAAAAGAGGTGCCAGGAGCTATTTGGGAGTGTTGGAGGATTGGAGGATTTCGGAATAATTTTGAGGCAAAAATATGGTCTTTTTGAAGGATGTTAAGTGCTATGTATGAAAAAAACTAATTGATTATGAAATATATGTAGAGGATTCAGAAAGAAAAGGAATATACGAAGGAGTATTAAAGAATTGTTCATGTTGAGAGTTTATCGATGCTTGGGATTGTTAGATGAGATATGAGAGATGATGAAGTTAAAATTACAAGTAAATAAAATGCTTCAATTCCATTAGTTTGCCTATTTTACAAAATTCATGTTCTCAAATCAAAATTATTATCTTGAGCAATCGACAACTTAATTTATTCATTAAAACATTTTGAATGAATTATCAGTTATCAATTATCAATTATCTGATAATTATCAATTATCTGTTTTGTCAGAATTTCTTGGTTCCATATGGTTAAAATAAGAACAGCATGAATATGTAGAATTATGAGAATAATACATTTATAATACATTTAATCAAGCATGTAATTTTTCAAGAAAATAATTTTCTGAATAAGTTAAACGAGGTTTTTAAGGAACTAATTTGGAAGTTTATATCAAATAATATTAGTTAAATAGTAATATCTTGATTTCCTAAATATTCTTCATTATTTTATAATATAGGCGTATTTCGCTCTTTTTTTAAATTAAAAAAATAACTAATATTTCTATTATTGTTATATTTCTATTGTTCTATTCTGTTTTTCTTTCCACAGCGATTTTCGCTAACTTCTTAATTCGTATGTTTCATAATGCAAATGGGGGTCAATGTTATTTTCTTGGGCAAATTATTCCAATAATTTATCATTTGCATAAAAAAATTATTGTAGTCCTCGTTTCGTTTCAGAAATCGGTTTAAGTAATTCTATCTAATTGCTTCGAGTAACATTGAAATTTGAACTAAACTTATAATATTTACTGCTGCCAAAATTTATGCATATAAATATTTTTCCATAAGTATTTACTTTGTTTTCACCATCTTCTAACAGCTCATTATTATTAAGATAGCTCCGTTGGCTATAAGGGCCATAGATGTTTCCAAGGCCTCGATCGAACACCATCGATCAAAGAAACCATTTTTTTGTCATCGTCTTATAATCTCTAATCTATATGTTTAAAATCTTTTCTGACTATTACTATCTGCATCAATCCTGGTCACAACTGGCCCTCTTTGCTTTTGACGCCATCGATTACGGGGTTTAGCAACGAAATATAAGTGGGAGACGAAGAAAGCCTGGTTTTGTGGTAGAAGATTAATTCAGATGGTATTTGGAGTGCAGATGGACGTGGTCATGAGATTTAATCTGCTCGGCGAGCCTGTAAAATGTATTTTAAACATGAGTGGTCAAAGGAAGACTTCGTTATATGTTCCGTTCTCATCGGCTATTTTTTGCACCCATATAGCAAGATTTTGATGATGCGACGTATTTCATCTATCAACGTACTATCAATTTAAAGGAAATGGCAACAAATAAGTGGCAACAAGATATAATTACGTAGGCGACTCTATCATTATTTCTACTGCTTTTTTTAATTTTTTACAACACAGCATATTCAAAAATCTGTGATACTATGCTCTATATTCTTTTGAGTAGCGACAAGCTATCACATTCCCAGCCCATCATATTGTTGAATATTGTACGAGACACAGCCTTGGACATTATTTTTATTTCGAAAAGACCTTGCTTATAGACCTGATAAAATACTGATACGCTGATAAAATGTCTTTATGAGTCGAATGATCTCTTTCGGAACACCAAAGTGCCGTTCTATCGAGTGAATCAATGGTAATTTGCAAAATCGCTGAAATATGTGCCGATGAAATGGCAATATTTGAAGTAATGCTATGATGCTGTGGTCAGCATAATAACGTCGCCTTTTGAATCTCGCTTGGTTAAGACGCATGCTGTCTCGATACAAGTCTATTCAAAGGAAATTTTCTCGGCGATATGTAGTAGGTTGATTGTTCCAGAACTATCATAGCATGCCTTGTCACTCTTCTTGGAAATTAGGAGCAAAATTGCTTTACTGCATTCACCTGGTACTATCTATGAAGGATGATGGACTACATTTGGAGATTTTCGCCAATGATCATCTTCTCAGCTAATTTTACTTGCCTTAAACTTTTGTATTATAGAAATTGTTATTTCTTGTTCTGTTGGCATTTCTAGTTGCAAACATATTGCTCGATAAGCGATTCAGCTATGTTCAGGACAATAGATGGCGCCTTTTAATATTGCCTTCAAAGAATTCTTTTCACCTTACAAAGCGCTCCTTCACGACCTTAACAGGCACACTATTAATGTTTCCTCGATACATCAGATAGCCAGGTCTTCTGATTCTGTTCATGATTTTGCACTCTTTTCATGATTTTCGGACACTTGGACAGCAATTTCCAATGCTGAACTAGAGCATTAACGGGCATCGCTTGTTGCTAAAACGGTCAGAAACTGCAGCATCGGACTCTCGGTGATCTACACAAAACGAAAGTCTTTTCGGCTTATGTACAAGAAGCTGATAGAATGCCTCTTTTTATAAATTCATTGCTACTTGAGGAAACCTGATTTTAAATATCTTGGGTTCACTCTAATACCAAATGGCCAGGCAAAAGACGATATTATAGCCCGCATCACGGCAGCATCCGGTTGATGAAATCTATGTAGCCCTTGCGAAATTACCATTAGAACGAAAGCCTGCATCTATATAGCTGTGATTCGTTTGACCTTGCCATATGTCTGATATATGGCCAATGAGAGTGGAAGATATTAAAGAGCGATCTTCCTTTGAACACTCTTGTCTAGGGTACATTTTACGGATCTGTCGAGTGGATAAGTACCACATGATCGCATTCATCTTCGTTCAGATAATATTATTAGAGAGCGTTGTCTTCGATGGTTAGGGCACGTTCTCCGTCGTCCACCACAAGAATTGTCGCATATTTCGTCACTTGTTAATTGTGTGATGGATGGCGTCAAGAGCGGGCTAGGCCAATCAAAACTTGGACTGATACGGTCAGGAAAGATTTTGAACGTATAGGTGGACCAGCAATATGTGGATTTAGACGATATAAAGAGGAATGGCTTCTATTACTGTCGACGATAGCATCAGATCCCACCGTTTAGAAGCGTTTTACCCATGTAGCCGTCGGAGCTAACCTAACCAGTGATGGTGAAAACTGTTAAAAGAAGAAGAAATATATTCTATTAGCATATCCTAGCGTGGATGTGGCTAGTTTTGGAGATATGCTTTTAATTGGGACCAGTAATTATTTGCCATTCCAGAGATATCGTTGATATTTACAGATAAGAACTGTTATCTAGTACAAAGTTCTTCCAGTGATAACTGACCGGGATATAATCCTAAATGTGGTGTTGATTCTCGGAGAGTTCTAAATATCAGAAACGTGCATTAATAACAAAAACTTTATGGTCTTCAGCAAAGCGAAAGTGTTCTACATTAGTTCCCCAATGCCATATTTCCAATCACTGAATTCACCATGTAGCCCTACGGGCGCATTTCAATTTCCTCTAATTATAGCCATGCTATCTTTCGGTAGAATTTTTGTTAATAGTGGAATTCCGCTTAGAATTTATCCTTATCACGATTGTCTTGCACGATGTTGGAGCATATGTATTGATGATCGAAGTAATGCAGAACTTTCCTTTAAAGTGAGCATATGCCACACGGCATTTCCTAAATATCCTTTAATATTGATGATTTCATAGTTTTTCAGAAATTAACCTTGTTTTTTTTTTTAATGCCTTTCTCCTAAAAACAGTTCGCCAATGAAAAATTATATGGATTGTATGAATCTTATTAAAAGCGTAAATTGCTAACAAGAATGAAGGAATTCACTTGTTGCATTAACTGCGAATATTTTTACATCTATTGATATTGAAAATATTAAATGATTTACATTTTTGATCTGAGACAAAATTCTTTTGTTCCTTTTTATTTTTGCTAGCAAATTTTCCAG